CTTCTCAGCGCGATTAGCTAAATGGCCCGACCACTTCTTTCGCGAAGCCCGAGTGGGCTTTTCGCCCGCTTATGGGAAGGTTTCACATGTTTCTCAGGTTTTTATCGGTTTCACCAATTTCTTTGTTTGTTTTTAGGGTTTTCTTTTCTTTATGTATATTTTCTATCTTAGTTTTCTCGTTTATCTTTTCAGTTACATGTCAAATTTTAAAATACATGTTGTACATTTTTAGTCGACAAGTTGAACATGTTTCAGATATACGTAAAACATTTTCCAAATATACAACGAGTGTTTATCCGAATACAAGTCAAACATTTTTTAAATGGTCACTGGACATTTTTTTAATACACAATGAACATTTTGAAACACACGATGAATTGTTTTGCGAGACGTGCGAACATTTCATAAGTGTGTATGAACATTTGATTTAAACGTGACAATTCTGTTATTTGTGATGACCATTTTTGAAACGCAATTTTCTAAATGTAACAAACAATTGCTTCGATGGTGCAACCATTTTTGATGAATTATGTGTTTTCACAATTTTTTTAAAATAGTTCATTTTTTCCAAGAAATATTATCAAAATTAAAAGGGACTTTCCCCCGCAAAAAGGGATTAATTTTCCAAAATAATATTTTTGTGCTTTTTTCTAAAAACAAAGTAAAAAAAACAAACTGAAAATAGAATATACAAAAAGAATAGAAGGAAGACATTTCTATTAAAAATAAAATCAGAAGGAGACATGCGCTACATGGGCCATCCAGCTCGGAGGTCCCATGTGTGAAAGCTCGACTATTTGCCACATAGAGCGGCAAATAGGAGCTCCCAATATCATCTCTAAATCCACTAGTTAAATTTCTGCTAAAAAAGCTCCATGCATCGTCCTTGTCCGCGGAGGTGCACATTCATGAGCTTGTTCTTATACTGCCTTGTTCAATTGGTACGAAATACTCATGGATAGGAGTTACAACCTATCATGCGAGCAACAGTGTCAATTAGCACTCTTGCTCTAAAATATGTGAGATTTAGGAAGAAACCTGCTTCTAAGTCCCATGAGGGGTGGTGTAAATCTCCTATGTGTACATAGCTGATGAACATTGATACTTTTTTTTATTTCAAAACACAACTTTAGTACAAAGTTGAGTCATCAATTTTGTAACGGAGGGGTAGTGATTAGAGACTCCAAAATGAGGTTTTGTTGCAACGAGAAGTTTTAAACTTGATGGCGCAACCGATCTCCTGATGATGGAGGCATGCGCAACCCGAGACGGTATTTTGCTCGGGAGATGCGACATTTCGAAATCATACTTCAATCTGACAATTAGTTGGTTATTTCTATATTAAGCGATAGAGGTTTCTTTACTACGGCAAGTTCAACAACATTTCATGATTGCATGTTGCGAGCAAGTGCGTTTGATGGGGTGTCTTTTGAATTCTGTTCTAGGGAAGGCGACATGGCAGCTCATGAGGTACCTAGATTAATTTCTACACTATTTGAATCTTGTACTTGGGTTGATGAACCTCTAGTTTACTTATGCATTTGCTCATAAATGACGTAACCATGTTCGATAATGAATAAATTGGCCCGAGGGATTTCCTGCAAAAATAAATCAAATGATGAATAAATTAGCTCGAGGGCTCCCCCACCCCTGAAAAAAAATATATGTTTGACTTTATCGTTGCTGCAACCTGCTTATTACCGCATCTTAGTAATGTGGACTCAACCAGATTTTTTTTCTGATTCGTAATGGCTTGATCTTGGTATCGAACATTGGGTGCAACTTGTTGGAGGTAGAATTAGACTCCTTTGTTTGCTGCTGAAGACTAAATCTCAAGTATCTGGAAAAATGATTCATGATAGTTACTATTTTACTATTTGTTAAACCGGCATCCAACAGTTCGCAAGTCGTCTTCTTGCTCTTAACCAACTTCTTCATAAAGCCACGATCCGATCCAGCCCTC